TGCATTTCAAACCAGGCTGGTTTTTGATTTACGTTTTGGAATAGAGTTTGGAGACGGCATTTGATCAAGTCAGACCTACGTTTTGAATTTGAATTACATTTTAAAGAAATTAGAACTACATTTTGAAAAATTTGAACTACGTTTTGAAAAATTAAAACTTCATTTTGGGAAACTAGATCTACATTTTGAGAAATTTACGCCTATAAATTATACATGAATTTTGCAATTACATTTTGATTTTAACATGGACTTTTGCTGCGTATGGCAACCCATACAGCTCTGCGTATTTCGAACATCGATTACATTGCTGTTAGCGCTCTAGTATTCTTATTATATCTCTATGGTGTAGAGTAGGTAGAGTATAGGCAAGGCAATTCAACAGAAGGACGCACATCTCGGGACATCAAAGGTTATAACTCTGGCATCGACATTCTAGGCGATTACCAAAATTGTGGTGAATTGTCGTTTATGAGACTCGCTTCGCAGAAAAAAATTAATAAATGTTCTGTATATATTCAAATGTTCGTTTTCGGCACCTTATGCCAACATTGTCAAAATGGCAGATTAATGTTACATAAGAACATGAAATTTTATAAAATTCGTAAATTTTAAATTGCTATAACTTTTCATTTCCTTGGTCAATTTTGACAAATCAAATTGCAGTTTATAGAAGCATTTAACAAGCTCGTGGTAAAAAAAAATCAGATGTAACAATTAACATTGCGAAGTACCCAAAATTAATAAAATAAAAAACTAACACCATAAAACGAATGGCACGCATAGACTAATAATTGACGGCTGTACTCGCAACTAGTATCGGATTGTCGATGCCACAGTAAAGATCAAAGGACTGTACGCACACGTTATGTTCGAGAGCGGAGATGTGCGTCCTTCTGTTGAATTACCTTGGTATAAGCAACGGTAGTACAGAGAGTTAGACGATTTTAGGTATTAATAATTATTCTAGGTCTATCTATTCTTGTACATATAGCTAATAGACCTATATAATAATTGGATAGGCTAAGCTATTCCCCCAGCTTTCAAGTAAAAACAGTGTATTTGTTAGGTGTAAACTAGATCTAAAGACTAGATAGAGATCTATTAAAAAGCAGACATGCCTAGGCGAGGCTACTTTTGTTAGTTAAACTTGGTCTTGATTAATTAATTATTCATTATATTTTATTGAGTATTATTATTATTATTAATATTATTATTGTTTACTTATTATTATTATCATCATCATCAATATAATTGTTATTGTTATAAGGCATAATAATTGTAATTTTATTATAATAATAATAATAATAATAATAATAATAATTATTATTATTATTATTATTATTATTATTATTATTATTATTATTATTATTATTATTGTTATTAATAATAATAATAACAACAACAGCAACAGCAACAGCAACAACACTTTCCAACCTGGTTAGGACCAATAAGTCTGGATCACATACTATAGTACCACAATTTGACGGTAATTATGTGTTGTAATTCCATATTTACAGTACCATTAAGGGCAATTTATTTGAGTAGTATTATCCATTTTACACCAATAAAAGGCCTAATGCAGGATTTGGCAATAGGGAAATGTGCGTGCTGAGAGAGTCGACACCACCTTAGTTTCATCATAATGATTGGGCTGAGGTGGTGGACCTCTAGACAGTGGCGGCTCTAGAATACATTTTATGGGGGTCTAAGCTGTCTGTCAGGGGGGCTTGTGCTTGTATGTCTGCAGAGGGGGAGGGGGTTGGGAGGGGTGACCCCTCTCCCTAACAAGTAAAGTTAGAGTTGAGAATTTGAGGAGTCAATACAAAGTTGAATATTAAGTGAATAGCGATACCAGTGAATTTAGTGAATCATTACATGAAGTATCAACAAATTGTGAATTGTAACCTGTGAAATTGAGTGAAAATAAATTGTGAATTTTGAGCCTTAAAAGCTGAGTTCCTTTACTTTGTCTCGCGAACAATAAATATATATATCATGTATATATGATCATATATAGTATATATATATAGGCTTAGAGGCGTCCAGAATTTTGCGCTATATCAAATTTAACTTTATTATTATTATTATTATAATCGTCTTCATATAAGACTGCAAAATGAAGTGTGCAAAAAAATAAAAAAAAAAACGTAAAAAAAACGTATTAGATAAATAAATATAATGTTTAGAAAAGGCAAGTCGAAATTAGCATCGCAAGCAGCCCACCCCTACTTTATTGCTGCGAAGCAGCCAATTATATTCTTGACAGCAATTTGACCTCTGAAAGGTCATTGTTTGTCAAAAAACAATGGCCTAAGACGACTGAAAAGCGGAGTTTCCTTCTTTCGTTCTGCCGGGTAACATCAATTACTTTAGGCGACGTTTGTAGACTAATCTACTCGTACCAACGTCCGCATGTCACCCTATAGCCTTATCCTACTCAAGACCTAGACTAGCTAGGGTGGTATAGGCCTAGCCTTGAAGGGACGAAGGTCCCATTGAAAAACAACGTCGTTCTTTGATAGCTAACATTGTCTATTTAACATCACAATAATTCATTATTAGACCTAGTTGTTTTTTGAATTGTACTGTACTCCACAAATCGTTAACGTCTCGTATCTATTGTCGTGACGTCATGGCTCGCTGGCTCACACCTTGTGATGTCTCGCATTTGTGATCAAATAACACGCTGGCTCGCACTTTGGCAACAGTCTTTGGCAGTCAACTCGCCCCTAGAAAACTCGCCCTTTGAAACTTGCCCCCATAAAAAAAATGTACACTTCCTAGACCATGCAGTCTTCAAAATAAAAATTGTAACCTTTCGTAATCAACTACATTTTCCACATACATAGACATTTTTGAAACTTTATTTAAAAAAAGCCTAAACCATAATTCACCACTACAGACACTTTTTGACAAAAATGAAAAATTACGACTTTGTTACCCAATGAGAAGTGTTCTAATATAGACAATGGGTCGTGTCTCATATTATTTGTTATATTTTTATTATTCATTATTTTCACTTGACTCGCATAAGTAATTTTTTAAAAGAACATTTATATGCAGTTGTACTTCGCAGCACTTCACTTGCAATTTGCAATTTCTAGTTACATGTAGTAATTTTTATTATGAACATAGAAAGTTCGCACACTGCCGCGAGAGGGCCTGACTCGCATGATATGACGCACTTCCGGAATAAAACGTTACAATTCTGTAATGCAAAATACGCTAGCTGCTCGTTGTTCCTCTATATTCTTTGGTTACACGCATACACACACACACACGCAACGACGGTAGAGCAATAACAGTACGATCATTCTGCCTTTTTCAAAAGTCACAAATATTAATTGTTTTGTTTATGATCGCGATTTATAAAACATGAAGGTTTTAGTTACCAGTACTAACGGGCAATATATACAACTTGATGTAAGCCCAGACATAGAGTTAGAAAATTTCAAGGCCCTCTGTGAGATTGAAACGGGTGTGAATTCACAAGAAATACGCCTTATCCACGCGGGTAAGGTGCTGGAGGACAACAACAAAACGTTGGAACAATACGGCGTAAAGGATAGCGATATGATTTTGTTGCAACCTTTAGGGGAGTCAGCTACCCGACAACAACGAGGTAACGTTAGTAAACTATATCAACCATGTGCTAGTCTTCCTGATCTATTTTTGTATTTTTAGGTCTAATAATTTCGAGAGGCCTAGGCCTAGCTAGAGGGGACTAGGCTAGTCTATAGTAGTGTACTTGCTCTTTATTCAGGTCCTGGGCAACTCGTACCCATTACAACAACTCGTATTCATGTCACGTAACTAATTAAATTCACTAGGCCTAAATCGGTTCAACTCGTACAGAACTTGGTTGGTCCTACTGTATGCCTAGCTGGAGTGTGGAAGAACTGTCCATGAAATCTAAAGGCCAACTCAGACAGCGTCTGAGCTGTTAAACACGTTTAATATTCTACTACGGGTGCAGGTCAACTCGGCCACAAGTCAACTCGGCCACAGTCAACTCGGCCACAAGTCAACTCGGCCACAAGTCAACTCGGCCACAAGTCAACTCGGCCACAAATCAACTTGGCCACAAAAAGTTCGGCTACAGCCAACTCGGCCACAAGTCAACTCAGCCACAAATCAACTCGGCCACAAGTCAACTTGGCCACAAGCCTTTAAGGCCAACTCAGACAGCGTCGGCCGACGCAGCCCGACCCGATTTGTCGTCGGGGACAGTCTTAAGCCGTCGTGAGAAATATTAAACACGTTTAATATTCTACTACGCGACTGCCCCCGACGCACACCATCGCGTCTACGTCCAACTCACACAGACCCGACGTGACAACAAAACAAACAGTGTCTTGATAACAAAAATGTTCATAATACTGTGAGAACAGGCATCAACTGAAATTCCTAAAATTAATCATTATTAATTAATTAATTAAACATACAGTCATAAAATAGGCACTTGTTCGAACGGCAACTTGCTTGTTCTGGAGATAGAATAAGTCTTCACAGATAAGGACAATAAACCGTAGCCTCCAGCGGACAAAATTGGCTCATGTGCACTTTCAAGAACCCAATACATCTTCCGAGACAAGTAGGGGCTTGCCCAGTGTAATGGTCCATACAGACCCTCTTGTGGACAGATGGGAGTTGCGGGTCGTTTACCAGGTAGCTCAGACACGAAGAGACCGTTAGGGAAGAAGAAAGTTACTGTATAAGCTAGTCCATGCTTCCAGACTCTGATGCTTACTATATAAATCGATTCAACTACAGTTTGTCCTCTCAATGCCAGACCACGCTTGGGACCAGAAAATTTGGGGTGGTCTGTGGGTTGGTCTCCAATTAGAGGGCTAGCTTTGTGTTAAAAGGTTAAAGATTGTTTGATCTTTGGAAAAGTGGTCTCGAATTAGAGGGGTTTGGGAAATAGAGGGGTCTTGAATTGGAGGGTGCACTGTATTATTGTAGATATTATTTATTATTGTTATTATTTCACAGGTGCACCAGCACAAAGCACAGGCATTGGAATAGACTTCAGCCGGATATCGGTACCAGGGGCATCTAACCAGCTGAGGACACCCCAGCCTAGAGTATCGCAGCCTAGAGTGGCAAGCCCTACTCCTGCAGTACTACGCGACTCTCTGCTAGCTAACCCTGACCAAGTAGCTTTACTTAAGCAAAGAAATCCAAGGCTAGCAGATGCTCTCCTCAGTGGCAGTCTAGGTGAATATGAAGCCCTATCCAGAGTATCATATTGCATTTGACAAAAACATGTGATATGCCTAAATATAGCCAGTCATGATGACATCGCATCATGACCAATATGGGCCTCATACTATATGGCCATACGGCAGTTTTTTTTGTTTTTTTTGTCAAAGAAAATTTGATCGTGTGGATAGAGCCTTTAAACCTTACAGCAAAGATTATAAAACTGCAAGAGGTCCGACTGCCGGGATTCTTTGGAACGCAATCCTATTTCAAAAAGTACTACCCAAAAGGGGCGTGGCCTTTAAAAGAAAGTAAAGTGCGTTCACATCGAATGCGTGCTGCGCGTCTATAGAATGTATGCTGGAATTTGAAACGCAGCACGCGTTCGATACGAACGCCTTTTACGTTCTACTGAAGGACGTGCCCCTTCGTGGGAGTACTGTTTAACGTTCCATTGACTGTATACAAAATAAGGGCAGTCGGACCTCTTGTAGTTTTATACTCTTTGCTTACAGTAAAATAAACAAATTGAAGACTACATGTTATCATCATACTTTATCATTTGTGCTCTGTATGATTACATACTTTATCATTTGTGCTCTGTAAAATTACATGATTTAAACCCAGACACTCTGATTTTATGATGACTATCTTTAACCAACAACTTAGGGTTGGGGTATGTGAGTCTATAGGACCTTAGTGCAGTAACATCCCTACCCCATGATGCATAGTTTGGCTACAGTGTTGGTTTCTTTGATTTGTTGAGAGAACTTCACATGTACCAATTAATTTCCTTTTTGGACGAAATCAAATATAACGTATTGTACAATTACCTCTCAATATTTTCTTATTAATGTTTATTTGATAAATCAATAAAATGTAAACAATTTACAGATCAATTTACAACTGAACTTGAGAGACAAAGAAGAGAACAATCGGAGCGAGATAGGGAGCATATAAGAATGGCAACGGCAGATCCCATGGACCCCTCAGCTCAGGAAAAAATTGCAGAAACTATAAAGTAAGTTGCAGAAAGAAAATTCCAGAAAAAGGAAGATAATATAAGACTTTTTAATATTGGTGTTTTATGGGTTGTCAAAGGAGGGTAGAAAAAAAAATTTTCTTTTTACCAAAAGCATTTAGACGGAGGAAAAAACAACAAACAATATTATATTGATGAATCTAAACAGTGTAGTAATGAGATTGATAAAGGCTTTATTTATGTACACTAATAAATATATATACTGTACACCAATATTTTTTTTATTTTCTCTTTGCGGAGGGTGTGCTAACTGGTCAAAAATATAATTTTATTTTATCGAATTCGCCATTATTGGCGATCAGAGCGTTCGCTGTACAAAAAAGTAGTCTCGCCTTCAATTCTGCTACACCCATTTAGCTATCAGGGTGAAATGCTGTGATATCCCATCTAAGATTCCTGGCAAGGTAAGCATTGCTAGATGGACCATCCTTCGTAAACATGGTGTAACCAAATTTTACAAAATCAAATGTATTTTCATGTGCATTAGTGTTTCAAAATTATTTGAGTGTGCACTTTTTAGAAGCATGTATTATCCCTAAACATTTTTTTTGTAGGAAAAAATGTTTGTCCAATATAAAAGTCATCTTGAAGACAGGGTTTTGCCTGTCCGACAGAAAAGCTTAATTACCAGTTGGCGGATCAAGAAATTTGTAATAAAGAGGGGTCTCTTGGGGATGATTCAAGAAATGTTTTATGATTATGGCACCTCTAGATGGCCTAGTCTCTCAGGCTTTAATTTAAATACAATTTTCTTCTTTTTCTCCTTTATTTTTTATATATTTGGAAAAATTTAGGGGGATCCAGGCTGGCTGGACACCCCATGGATCTCCCCCCCCCCCGATTACCCTTCCTCTGCTGACGATTACAATTTCTATTGCAGACAAAACAACATAGATGCCAACATGGAGGTTGCAATGGAACATGCCCCAGAGAGCTTTGGTCAGGTAATCATGCTGTACATCGATTGCAAGGTCAATGGTCACCCGGTCAAAGCATTTGTCGATTCAGGTATGGCCACATGCATACACCAATCCCCTACACATCTAAATCACCTCCACATTCATACACCCTTGCAACTGTACACAAACCTTACGCGCTTATACACACTAACAGACAACAAACCGAATTAGGTCGCCAAAGCTACTGCTATGTGACAGTTTTTCTACACGATAATATGGCTCCGCTCAACCAAAATTATTTATGACTGTTTTAAAATTCTTCAAACTTGTTTATTCGTACATTTGGACATAAGTTAAGCCTTGGTAAATGTTCATAAATACACCCCTGTAATTTTGGTAATCAATGGTAGATTTGAAATGTAGTGAAAAAGCAGACGAAAAGCATCAACATTTTGCATAGAGAATTGTACACAGTGAGCACAGGCCTAGGAGTCATGCGGACAGTTTTCTTCTGGTCCTTTCAGAGGCAGATCCAGAGAATTTCTGATGGGAGGGGGCACAATATGAAGTTATCGCCACCACGCCCATCTCAGCCCCACCATGGTTGGTGTAAATAAGTGGCAAATAATCAAGCTCTCTTTTCACCCCACTGCTGGATCGCCACTGAACCCATAGGTACACTCCTTTTTTCCTCTTTTTAACTAAAATTTTTCTCTCTTTTTTATTTTTTGGCTTGACTGACGGGGGGAAAGGGCACTTATGCCCCCTGCCCCCCCCCCTCCTGGCTGGATCCACCACTGCCTTTGGTCATCGTAGTAAAAAAAAAAAAACTCTCTTAATCTACATCCAGCAATCTACGTTGGTCTATCAGTTCATACAATACTTGCAACAAAATGACTATGTGACAGTATAGCTAAATGTGTACCTCTAATACATATAATGAACAAACTTGGACACTTGATTAACAAAGCCCTTTTTGCCCATTGCCTCTAAATTTTTTAGTGGTCCTTTCACATGTTATCATTTTTACAATTGTATCATCAACATGGTTTAATATTTTATTGATGAAATATCCAATATTTTGTTCGACAGAGACAAACAGTCTATTTCTATCTTGTCTATCTTAAATTTTGTTAGTTCTTTATTAAATAATTTATTATATTTTTTACTCATAGTTTTTAGTTTTGTTGTCTTCACTGTCATGATTAGTTCTGTTGTTGTCGTCATTAGTTCTGTTGTCATTATCGTGTTGTTGCAATTGTACTAAATGGTTTTTTTTTTGTTATATTCAGGTGCCCAAATGACCATCATGAGTGCAGAGTGTGCCAAGCGTTGTAACATCATGCGTCTAGTTGACAAGCGCTGGGCTGGCATTGCTAAAGGTGTTGGTGTGCAAAAAATTATCGGCAGAGTTCATTTAGGTACGTACTCTTCACTTAATCTCAGCTAATGGCAAACTAGATTAAAAGCTACTAAATATTGTAATTATGATGATGCTTTCAATTTTCATTTCAAAATTTTAAAAAATCATGTTAGCCTTTTCATCATCTTTTCATCTTCTATGCTAGATGTGTTTAGCTCTGATGAGGAGCTCTAGAAACACTTGGTTGATTGATAATAGATCTTTTTGGTATGAGCGGATGTTAAGGCCAGTATACTCTACTGCCTCTGTTATACTGCCCTCGAGAACATTTGACATGGCGCCATTGACAAAACCTTTCTGATTGGCTGAAAATGCACAGATGAATGATGATGGCATAATTAATGTCGTAATATTGAATCCCAACACGATGGCGTGCATTTTAATACTTGGAGTATGTATTACTTTCATAGCATAGATGCACCTTTAAAAGAAATTTCCAATTTCCTTTTCTTTAGTTCTGATCCCTGTAATAATAGGTTTCTTGAATTTTTTTTGCACTTTGCACTGTCTGCTGGGGCAAAGTATACGTCCAAACACTTTCCTTACGAATTAACAGGGCCTGAGGTATAATAATTACAGTCAGTTCTGGTACCTAATAATATTTAGTAGTTTTAAAACTGCTGTCCCTAGAATTTCAAGATTTTGAGTCAGTTGTTCTAGGAAAATACTAAGTTTCTTTAAACTGCTTACATTTCGTGAAAAAATTTTTTTGAAACTGTACTGTGTAAACTAACTAAAAATACTTGGAGAATAGAGTATTCCACTCTATCAATTAGTTACATAATCAGGACACTTAAAACTACCTGTACTCACTTAGGTCTAAATGTTTTTGAGTACTGTATATTGCGGTTGCACAGATTTACTCTGTGCTGTGGAAGTGAAATTCCTGTGTAAATTGGAATGTATTACGTTAGTTCATTTCATTTGAAAGGCACGCCAAGTACAGTTGTTTTGACAGATGACCAATGACTGATAGAAGTTTGCCCGATAAGAGTAATTTTGACCTAGTTCTACAGTATGCTCCTATTAGAGCCTTTTTTTTAACTATTCAGTTATCATACAGTAGCAAAGGTTTGAAAGAAATATTAAGTTTAACTATATAGAGTACTACAGTGTTACGTCACGATACCGTGTGATACTACTCCGTTGCTATCGTTGCAAAAAGCTTTCAACCGGGTTCGATTTTCTCCACTGACAAACCATGTGTATTCGATAACTAATATAATGCGAGCTTTTGTGTTTTTAGTACATTTTGATGGTAAAATATTAGATTTCAAAATGCCTATTCCAGAAAGCCTATGAAGTCATTCAGGCGTAAGGAACGGTAACCAACGTCTGTTGACAACAGAGAGTGCCAGCTGGCATCGCGACGACACGACTGTGGTACTCTATATAAAAGCATCACATTTTGAACTGCTAATAATCTAAGTATTTTCTTATTATCTTTAATGTATTATAAAAGGCCAAATACAGATAGGACCAGATTTTCTTCAGTCATCCTTTTCCATTCTTGAAGATCAGCCAATGGATATGCTTCTTGGTTTAGACATGCTCAGAAGACACCAGGTAAATTAGTAATATGTGGCTGCCTAATTTTGTATTCATACATTCAAAATCAATAAGCACCTTCTGGTTTATTACCATTTTATTGCAAAACTTTTCTGGCCCACAACTTTATTACCTCTGCCAAAGGAGGTTTTGTATTCACCACTGTCTGTCTGTCTATTAGCAAGATTACACAAAATCTATGGATCATCATAAAATTTAATGAAATGTTACTTAATATTCGAAGAAAGAGACAATTAAATTTTGGGACGAAAAAGATCAAAGGACAAGGTCAGGGTCACAGAAATTCAATTTTTTACCTTGAGCATAAAAGAAAATAATGGAATAGCCCACCATACATGGCCTGCATATTGTTCAGTATTTAGGCACAGAGAGAAAAATAATGTACTGTAATAACAGCTGTTTTTGTCTGCAGTTTTGAGTAACCTATATCTTGCACTCAAAGCAAATTATTAGGTAGTCAGGAAATTTTTGATTTACTACAGAAGTTTGAAGATATACTTATTAACTTGAAGTCTGCTCTTGTTTCTGTTGAGAGAGTCTAGATGTTTTGATTGAGTTGCTTCAATTGTCAATGTTGAGACGCAACAGAAACAACCGTTCTCTTTAGAACTATCTATCTGGTGTATGTAACACAAGCATATATTAATTGTTACTTTCCTTCTACCAAAAATAGCTAGTGATCGTACATTAAACAACCATTAATCTGTTCATGTGTGGCTTTAATTTCAACAGTGTAGCATTGATCTTGAGAAGGTTGTCTTAAGAATAGGAACAACAGGAACAGAGACCCCATTCCTTTCAGAAGCTGAACTGCCACCAAGTTCTCGGCTCAACCGTTCAGCTGCACTTGGCGATTCAGTAACCACAGCTGAAGACAGAGACATTGCTGAAGCCCTTTCTAAGTCTGTTCGTGAGTCTACAGGTAAATATACACTGACAACATTTTTGTATACACTTTACAGTGGGTGATGTTCTAAATGGTAAAATAAATAAATAATAAATAGATATTAGTTAATGTTTTGTTTCATCTGACGTGTTATTGTACTCAATACAATCCCAAATACTCACAGAAAAAAATTGAGATTCAGGTAGGAATCGAACCCACGACCTCCAGAAACAAGCCTGGTGTCGTAACTAGACCACCAAACCTGCACTTAATAAATAGTGTTGCATTCGATCCCCAACTACCAGCGGGTACTGCAATGCTATATGGTAATTTAATATGACTTTGTGACTATGTTATTTAATATGACTATGTGTAGACTAAAACGTTTAACATACTTTACGGTATTAAAAAGATTGAATCCCCCTCCAACATCTATATTTTAGATGGTGAACCCTCTACTTCTTCTGGGTTTTCATTGCAAGACATAGACAAGATCACAAACCTTGGATTTTCCCAGGAACAGGCTATAGAAAAACTAACTCTATATGATGGAAATATTGAAAAAGCCACCAATGCACTTCTTGCTAATTCTTATGGTAATGCAGGTAAGTAGCTAACTCTCAGGGCTTGAGAAGAGCTTCCCCCACCCCCAGTTTTTCTATGCGAAAAAGATTCCTCAAAGAGAGAAAAAAAAATGTATTTTTAAAATATTTTTATAGATTCTAGAATCAATGAAATAAGCCCTTAAAACTTCTAAATTGTCATAGTTTCGTGAAGCCTCACTCCTTGGACCCCATCTGAGAGATATGAGCGATGGCCAACGACGCCCACTTACGCTCTGTCGTGCAAATAATAATGATAATGGTAGACTTACAGCATATAGCGTATATTGTTAAGCCCTCTATGCGCTTCACATTATCATTACCCTGGTCATTGGATTAAACGCCTAATGTATATGGAACACAGACTCAAGCTCCCTGGGGAAATATCCAGGCACCACCACTGATATACGCTCTCTGATGTGTATTATTGTTAATCTGATAAATCCAGAAGAGGAAATAGTAATAGGCCAGGTAATAAATTCAAAAGAATAAATGCCCTCTGCAGGGGCTAATCCAGCACAGGATACTGAAATTTTGCCATTGAATTCTGTGTGAAAGCGACGTGGGGCAGCGAAAATGGTTTTGTTACCCAACCTTGAGGTCGGGGTTTCAATCCCTCTCTGTGAACTTAGCTTGTGTCCTTGAGCAAGGCAATTTATCTGCGTTGCTTCTCTCCACCTGGTGTGGTTGCCTACTACTGCACCAATATAGCCAAGGGCGTCGATCCGTGGTTGAAAGTGGGGGGGGGGCGGAGACGAAATGAAAAATAAAGGCCCAAGCCTTGGTTGGGGACCAGGTGGCGAAGCACCCGGAAGCTCTGGCGCCTATAGCCTATTAATTGATTTTAAGCAATGCAATTAACATTTATTTCCATACGAAATTTCAAAATATCCAGTGGCGGATCTTGTAATTTGTAATAGAGCGGGGCCCAGAGAGGGACTTTAACAGATGGAGAGTGTAGACCACCTCAGCACCACCATGGTTGGTGCTGTGGTAAGAAAATTTATGATTATGGCACCTCTAGATTGCCGGAAATGGCACTCTCAGACCTAAATTCCAATTATAATTTTCTTTTGTTTTTTTTTTCATTTTTTAAAAATAATTTTGAAAAATTTTTTTCAAGGGTCGGCTCGGCCCCCACTTGAATCCGACACTGATTATTATGACGTCATTGCGAGATTGCGTCAACCTAACACTGGAGTTTTGTAAACTTTGGTATCACTTAATCGAAATAGACATATCAGTGTCAAAGGCTGTATAATTATTGTTTAATAATGGCTATATAAAATTCAATTGATAAGGAAAAACAGTAATCATATGTATGTAGATAATATTAAACCCTATATACGTAAGGGTCATAATAATATACAAAAGGAATAAATAGTTTATAGTAGAAATTGTGCACTTTTGAGTATACACGCTTTTAATTTTAACAACGTTCAGTACATTGTTTTCACAATAAATTTAGCATCTGAACCGTTGCACCCATAAAATCGATCTAATGGTTTCTGAGATGGTTACGAAATGTATAAACAATTGCGTTTTTACTCAGTTTTGGTCCAGAAAATATGTACAGAATTCATGAGTCATGCGTAATTGTTATTCTTTCCATTCACTTTTAAAAGTGGGGTTTTAATAATAGAAGATTGGTGAAAAGTGGGGGGGGGGGACAATCGATATGTCTCCCCCTACTTTGAAAAGTGGGGGAGGCATTCCCCCTACTTTGAAAAGTGGGGGACGCGTCCCATGTCCCCCACTGATCGACGCCCATTAATATACCAGCGTCACTTGCATGTGGAGCCAATGACCAGGGAAAACAAAGCCCTTCGTAACCTAAAAGAAAAGGCGCTATATGAAGACCAAGTGTAATTGATTTCAATAACAAATAATTCTCCTCTTAATGTTTTGAAAATCCATACTTTACAGGTGAGGATTCTTCTAGAGCAACCTTCTCAGACAGTGACATTAAAAAAATTACTGATGCTGGATTTTCCAGAGAGGATGCTATTGCGCAATTGCAAAGCAATGGCGGCGATGTATCACTTGCTATCGCAGCCTTGTTAGCAAAATCACTGAAGGTACCAGGACAATAAGAATGTAGCTACATGTCAGATAAAACAGATGATTCTGTTTTAAGGATTTTAACAGTTGTAGTCGAAGGATAAGCCGTTGAAGATGAACATTTTGATATTGTGGGTTCTTCAACTATATTCACAAGTTACAGTAATATAATCTTTGTTTATAAAGAGAGACTCGGGGATAGTGCAGTTACATCTAGGGCTATCAATTGCCTATATTTCAACACGTATCATAGAAATGTACGTAAATCTACTATCGATACAGAAAATGTTGAATAATGCTATACTAGTGGGAACATTGAGTATAAATGTAGCATTGAAGGATTAGTGGAAATGAATTTTGACAACAAATTTTGTAGGAAGAAGTAAAGTATTCTTTTTTACACAAAACTGAATTGCCAACAGTTGTGGGAGAACTTGGTAGCAATGGAAATGCTGTATGAAGAAGTAATTTCATTTTCCCTTTTTTTACAAAAGTAAACAAAAATCTTTAAAAAAAGCGAAAGCTTAATAAATTATTTGTATGGTACATATATTCAACTGCTTTTAATGAAAATATATGATGTAAAGGCCTGTTTATACTTCAACGATAACAATAAAAAATCTGGAAAGCAATTGTTCATATAGAAAATAAAAGAATTAAAAGAGAGGTTTTTACACCTGAATGATTCGATAACGATTTATCAGTTATGTGATAACAACATGTTTTGACAAATCAAATCATAATCATGGAAAAACATTAAAATCGTAGTAGTAGATTTTTATCGTTTTTCCATGATTATGATGTCATCTGATTTGATTTGTTAAAATATTTTGTTATTGTATACACGATAAATCTCGTATTTCTTTTGTTTTCTATGTCAACAATCGCTTTTTAGCTATTTTATCGTTATCGTTGATGTATAAACAAGCCTTAAGCCTATTTTTTAAGTGGACCAAAGTATTTATATGTTGTTATTGTACTGTATATTCATATTCAAATATGCAAACTATGGCACATGTCATTATTTTAAGACTATCTTATTGTTAAAATATAATAAATGTTGGTGTTTTATAATTTAGAAGCATATAGATGGGAAAACTGTTTTTCTAGAAGTTTCAATTTTGATGATTCCACCAGTATGAGATTTTATATTTTAATTTTGTCGGCTTTCCCACAATTCCACAGATCAATTAATATGTACAATTGAATGTAAAAACAAATTTGTCTGAATTAACACAAAAAGTAAATATCATTCCCAAATTTAAAATGCACATTGAAAATAGGGGTTGTATATTGCGTAACTATACATCATTCAGAGAAAGCTGAAAGTGCTTAAAAAAGAATATTGGTTCGGTACCAAAATAGTTACCTAGATTTATCCATTCTCAGGAGATTCTTAAAGTAAATGTTTGAGTTTGAGCGATTGGTGCAGCAGCTGCAATTTGAACTTTGAACCTTAAAGGTTGGAGGTTCAAAATCTCGCTGTGAATTTTGCTTTTGCCCTTGTGCACTGTACCTTTTGGTTGTCTGTCGCAACCAATAGTTTGCAGCTAGGCTTAGGTGCTATTTACTAGCTGCAATTTTATATGGCATTCTCCACCAGGGTGCTGAAGCCCCTTCCAGGCTATAAAAGTTTACTTGACAAAAACATGCGACATGCATGAATATGTTCATGATGAAATCGCAATAATGACTCTGTGTAGGCACATCATGACAGGCATAACAACATTTTTTTTGTCAAACAAAATTTTATGGTGTGGACAAATCATTAGTATGTGTTCCATTGTTTGATCCAATGACCAGGGATAACAATGTGAGGTACATAGATAACACATTTTACATAAAAGTTGGCTCGACTTGGAAACTGATGCCTTTGATATTGTAATAGGAACATTTTATTAACTCTTTTTTGATGATTTTTTTTTTAGTCTGGTGAAATTTAACTTGCTTGATCTACAAGTGTTTTATTATGGTCATTGTGTATCACTATGCCAATGTACGGTGTGATTTTTTTTCTCTACAAACCCACACTGTACCACACTGCCTCTTGTTAACCGTCCTCCTCAGATGTGTACTAAATTATGACATTGTTTTACAGCCTGCATGAATACATGCATGTACTATATTCTTTATTACTGTATTCATCTTGACTTGTTCAAACAGTATGTTGTTTATATGCCCGTCTTTATTATATCCAACACATCACAAAGAATGCATGTTATGTAGTGAAAATAATTTTTAACCCTGACAAATAAAAGATATGCATATAACTGTAGCGAGTTGACTGCATGATATTATAGTATAACTAGGTTTCTTGACAAAATGTGCTAAAGTAAATATTTCATGAATATATGAATCAATTATGCTTGATTTATTGACTATTTACTATTATTGACTGCACAAATATTGGGAAAAAACCTAAAAAAATTCAATTCAAATTTTAAAAAGCTTATTTAAAAGGATCAAATATGTTATTAACTTCCAAAAAGAAACAGATAAATGCAACAAAGATAAATATTCATTAATTGAAGGGGAAATTTTCCCTAGTTCAAATTTTAATTGCAATTTAGTAACTGTCTTAAATATACACAAAAAAAAAAAATATGGAATTGAATATTTCAATTTATCAAACTCATGACAGACTACATCTTCAGAAGCTACACTGGCCATCATTGGTGCAGTGGCGCCCCATTGGACAAGTCAACTTCCCCGCCGGCCAAGCTCGTCAGGCAGTTGGACCAAAATAAAAATTTATCCCGATTCCCCCAGGAAATGTATCCTAGAGTCGCCACTGCATTGTGGTGTATCTACGGAGAGGATGTGTAAAACTTCCTGAACAAATACATTACACTGAAGTGGCTTATCAATAACCTTTGAAATGGGGAAGATGTGGCGCGAAAGTGAAGTGGGGGCTCGCTCACAAAATATCTACTTGATTTTCCAAATATGGTATGATGTATAATTAGGCATCTCACATTTTTTTGTCAAAAAAAAAAAATTCGATAATCTGGACGGACATTTAGTCATTGTGAGACTTCCAAGAATTAATGTACTGCATGGTATTTTGGATGATGTTCCAACATCCATATTTGATGTTTGTCGAACTTTATATTCCAAATAGCAATATGTAATACTATATAATCCAGGGTGTTCAATACAAAATGTTGTAAATAAATTACAACAGTATTCATGTTATTGTGTACTTTTTTGGTGGAGGGGGGTAGGTGTCGAAGAAAAGATTATAATTAATTTAAACTTGCTTGTAAATAATGGGAAAATGAATGACCCCACCTTTAATACAATTCAATGTGTAGGTTTATGGTATCGACACACACTCAGTTTTATTATGCTCAGTACATCTGTTTGTTTGACAAATAGTACAAGAAAAATAATTTGATTTGCAAAAATTATTAAGCACAAAGACAAGAAAACTTTTAGTAACAACATTTATTTGAGGATTCAAATGAAAACAGTGTTTTTTCCCCATCAGTAAAATTGAGGTCTGTGTACACTGTATCTGAATAAACGTAATGCTTTTGTTGAGAAGCTAACATAATTAAATTCACTCGATGGCAGTCAGTTGGCTGGTATTATTGCCTCTGCACTTTCATAATTCCTACATCAATGGCAAGATTTAAATGGGGACCCAGTTACCCTCCCTCTCCTCCCAATTTTTTTCAAAATTAAAAAAAAAAATGAAGAAAAATAGAAAATTATATATAAATTTAAGTCTAAAGCCCATATTCTTAAAACAAACTTTAGTCGAACTTCAAACTAGAACTTCATTTATTGCTAGCTGCAACCGCAACTTCAATTTGTATTCACAAACAACGTAGTCGAAGTTTTAACTACGACTAAATCAAGTCCTAGTTTTAGTTCGACTGAAGACGACTGGCAAGCCACGACTATCAAACTAACCAATAAAAAGGGCTAAATTTAATAGCAGGCAAAATTTTAGAGATCCGGTATAACGCAGATGAATATTAAGCTGCCATCTGTGGTTCGAAAACGTATTTCCTCATAATTCATAATAGACCATCATTCGCTTAATTAATTTTCTATAATAACAACTATATTAGTTGTTAACATATTACGATAGAGAATTTGAACAGTCACTGGATATTTGCTTTTGGAGAACTATTATAGTTGAGCCTGAGCGAGGGTGGCACCATCTTTGTTGTTGTTATGGTGAAGCTAGGTGATCGCAATGCGAGAGGATTTCGTGCAAATCAGGAACTATCGCATGTGGCTAGCAAATCATGTTAATTTCTCTTTTTGGAAGCTAAACTTGATGTCTCTTTTGTTTAACACACCAAAGATATATCAAACCTGCGTATACAATTGTTCATGCTACATTTTTGGCCGTTAACAGACTTGTCCATGGCACCCGGCTTTTGGAAAAACCCGGGTTATAAATCCTGCTGGTTTGTTGAATAGTGATGGGTTCTTAAATTATTTATTGCCACTGAAGTGAGTGATTGTAATGGGTTTCTTGTTTACATTCCAATGGCTATATGTTGCTGGCCAGGACTCTCTTGTTAACTCCCAATGGACATTCTTAAAACCAATTACAGTTAAGTTTATGGAGCTGCTAACAGCTCCCTCTGGACCATTTGACAGCTCACTCTCAACTATCAGACAGCTCACTATGGACCATTTCGGGGACTTCTGCCTCATGTTTCATATCGTGAGTTACAAAAACACATTTTTAGTAGGGTAAATATTTCAAGTCCGCGATTTAGCCTGACCCTAGGCTGACTAATAAAATCGGCCTGCGGAGGTATCATTTTAGTCAGGGTTCGCGTCAGTCGAAGTTCATTTTAAGAATACAAAATGACGTAATTTTTAAGTTTTAGCTCGAACTACGACTAAAGTTTGTTTTAAGAATACCGGGGTTAGGCTACGGTCAGACTTGGAGATAATCCAGGCTTATGTTAAGCCTGGCTCAAAGTTAAGCCCGGCTAAACTCTGCCGGGTGTTCAGACTAGCTGGATTAGCCAGGTCTAGCCAAGCCCGCCTCAGAAAAGTTAAACCGGGTGGTATGTCAGGCCTAGTAAATATAGGAACAATGTCCAGTTTGAGATAAGCCACCTAGTTCAGACTGGAAGGTGAATAAACCTGGTGACTTGAGCCAGGTTTATACACCTAGTCTGAACTACGCATTTGAGTGCCATTTTTACCTGTAAAACACTGTATTTAAGATACATTATATAAAACAAGAGTATTAAAATCATTGGAGTTTGACACTCTTTATGACACCAGCTCGTATTCCAGTGGCTTCCCCACTGTAGCGCTGCTTCTCTGTTGTTGGTTCTCGAACCTACAGAAAGAATAAGAGAATGTTTATTACAATAAAGTTATTGTTTAGAAATCTGTTATTATATAGTTGAGTTTTGTCAATATTTAATTTTAATTGTAAATTCAATTCTAATGTAATTGATCATTACCATAATCCAATTAGTTTTGCTATCAGATAAACAATGAATCTTTACGAGTGCATGGGAAAAATATTTTCAAGAGTTTGCAAGAAGTGGCAAAACACAACAATCTTTGAACTCATGAAAGAATATTCTTTCTATTGCATGAACACAAAACATGAGCTTTGGCTACAAGTTAGTCCCAAAAACTGATTAAAATACTAAAAATGAGCATTAATTTTTCATTGGGATAGTGATTTATTTCCAAATCTCCCCTCCCCCTCCTGCCCACTCCCCACCTCAAACGCCAAAACTTGGCTTCACCCAAGCAAAACATTTGTTTTTTTTTAACACACCTAAAATAGATCCTTGCCATTTGATATTTTATGAAAAATAGATTTAAGTCTACCTTTCTTCTAAATAGAACAGTCCATTTTTTAAAATATTGTATTAGGTGGAGGCGTGCAATCGGACAAAACGAATGGAACAACATACATTAAATAGCGTATACCCAATGTCAGGTATGAAATATATCAATCAAATGACAAAAGATATATTTTTGTGTGTTATATATTCTATTTCAACCATATTATTAATAATAAAGTCAGATCATACCTGACCCTTCCTTCGTATTTTTGCTCTTCGGAACTTCATTCTATGCTTCACCCTTGGATTCCTGTGTTCTTTCTTTTTCTTCACTGTAAGACCTTTATTCTTTGACATCTATACAATAAATAGCAATATATTTCAGTTAACCAAAAAAGAGAAAATTAAAAATGGATTTCAATATTTGTTTTAAGAAGCAAGACAACAATGATGTAGTAATGTATAACATATCTGTTTCTAAGCATTGTGGGTTAATTAATGATCACTGTTGAATTTAACACATACAAAGTCTGACTTAAATAATAATAAATAATAGTGACATTTCACTGGTGGGGCTTCGCGAATACAGTATAATATACTGTATACAGTATATTGTATTGTCAAAATCGACAATGATTAAAAAAAAACACATAGGGAATAAATACCTGGTAGGTTATCGCTCTCTTTGCATTTTCATCTTCATTGTCTTCTTCGTCTTCAACTACTTGTTCTGATTCCCTAAAAAATATATGACACAATGAAAAAATTAGGTCACTTTACAACGTTTACTTTAAACCTAATATAAACATCAACAAAATGAATACATTGAAATACTGTACATAGTTTTTTTGTTCTCATTCTAAGTATTAAAAGCTAAAAAAATTAATATAATAATTTGAAAATTCATTAAGTTTTTAGCTTTCAACTGAAAAAAAAAATCCTCACCAAATAATTAATGGTAATACAGTAAAACCCCTATTTAGGGGACACCTTTCAGGACCAAAAAAGTGTCCCATAAATAGGGTTGCCCCTCAAAATGGGTTTGCTGTAGTGTTAACAATATACTTTCTTTCATTTTGTGGCTAAAAAGTGTCACAAATGAGTGTTCTACTGTAATATGATTCACCTGTTGGTTGATGCTGTCTGCTGGTATTTTTAAGTTGATGTTGCAGTGGTGTAATTAGTCAGTAGGTTGTTGTGTTGTCAGTTGGGCATTAAAATAGTGTGAAGATTATATTGCAACTCTGTCTGATTGGTGGTTGGCATCTGTTGGATATTTAAAAGGGTATAAAATTGATGTTACAGCTGTGCCTATTTTGGTATCAATTAGTCCGTAAAAAAATGTACAATATAAAGATAAAAAAATGCCCGGCTAAAAATGCACAATGTTTTCGACTACAGATCACCACATTTTTCCGGTGCTGCCCCTGGGTGAAAAGAGAAAAATTATTCTTATTTATGAACAGAAGCAATGTAGTAGCATCAAACTTACAACCTGTCAACTTGCTACACACCAAACAATTAATTCATTCAACAGAAGGACGTTTATCTCGGGACATCAAAAGTTATAACTCTTCCATCGAAATTCATGTGTCGCGCTCCTGTACACTGATCGTCACAAAAATTGCTATCAAATTAGCCATGGATGTGTCAGTTGCCATGATAATTGTGCACGTGCAGTGATTAGAAAAGCCTAATGATTTTTTGCGCTAACATTAGACTGCTATTATATTTGTTATTTCAACATAAATTTTTCCCATAATGTGGTCCTCGGTGGTTCATGAGACTCACTTCGCAGGAAAAGAAATGTTTCTGTATTTACTTAAATGTCTGTTTTGTGGACCTTAGTCCAACACTGTTAAAATGACATTTTAATGTTATAACAAGAATGTTAATTTTTATAAAAATCGTAAATTTTCGATTGCTATAACTATTCATTCTGTTGGTCAATTGGTTTCACAAATCAAATTGTTGTTTATACTGTAGGTGCACTTAACAAGCTCATAGTTAAAAGAAATCAAATGCAACAGACATCCCACAATTAACTACACCTGTGCCAGGGCTGTAGTTTATATAGTTAGTTATTAATATAAAAATTTGTAAATACTGTAAGGTGCAGATCTAGAAAGAAAATTAGGCAGTTCCTATGTGTGTGTGTTTACAAACATCCTAGAATTATTAAAATAGTAACACCATAAACCTTATGTCATGCATAGACTAATAATTGACAGCTGTACTTGCAACTACGCTAGTTAAGATGGGTGTGCTTCTGTTTAATTGCCTTGGTAAAATCAATAAGAGAAAAGAAATTTGTTACCTCATGAGGTCTTCCTTCTCCTGTTTCTTCTGTAATACCTTTTGTTCCATGATTCTATAATACTCTAATGCAGCCTGTTCTTCTTCAGTCAGTGACAAAACTTTTTGTGCTTTCTGTGAATGACAAACACAAATACATAAATTTGGTTAAACTTGTTATCAATGATTGTGTATCTACAAAACGTGGCACGTTTATTAAACCTGCCTGACACGGTATACCCACAATGACACTTGATTTGGTATAATGCTATTCGATTTTTGGATTATAATCATTATTATTAAACCATGGCATCATCATTTTACACTCTAGATAATTTTCCTATCTCCCATATTCAACAATAATTTGTACTAGTGTTCAGTATGTTTACAGTTTTGCAGTTTATGTGAAAAAAGCTCAGACGAACCGGTTTACATTATGAAACCGTGCAACAGGCAATAGGTGTGGAAGGAATGTGTATTTTTTTTAATTAGAGATTAAATGGCTAAAAAAAACATTTTCTCCTAACATTTCTGTTTCTAATGTTGTCTGGTTCACAACCAGGCCACAATACAGGATTTTATACATACTTGAAATCATTATTAGGATAGGAGTATTTCGGTGTCATCAAAGGACAACCCACTAAGTCTGAACACTTCTTTCCAGTGGGGTCCTTCTGGTGGTGATTTAGGCAGTACCCAGGAGACAATCCCTTACTCTTTTCCGAAGAGTGTACTGCGTTCTTTAACATGCACATGGGCCATATTGCACACGGGACCAACGGCTCATACATTTCATCCAAAAGACGGTGCGCTATCGTAACTTGTATTTCAGCCCTCCAGCTGGAACACAAGGAGAGCGGCAATGGAAATTGAACCGGGGACCTGGAGATCTCGACGGTTCAGCGCACACACAGTGGCTACCACCAGTTTAGCCGACTGAGCTAAGCTGCTTTTATTGGCCAATGGTTGTTTTTTAAAAACGAGGTATAAGAAAGTTTTGCTGCAATCGTAAAGTTCTGTTAAACAATTACCTTCTTATGGACACTTGGTTCACGATCGTCTGCTTCTTTGAATGTCTTTCCACGTTTCTTGCTCTTTTCCCTATGCTGATGCTTCACATTCATTATACCGGTGTTTTCGTCCTCTTCTTTGTCAAGCATATTGCCATCTACTCTGTACACCTTGAGAAGATTTTGGATATCTCCTGATAACTGTTCATCTATGGGTTTTAATTCTTGTATAAGCTGCAGAAGTAAATGATATATTCATTTATCATCAGGTTATTCTACTGTCTTGAATATCGGTATTGTGTAATGTAAACTCCTTTAGTATTAATGCTATTTTATGATTATGAAAATAAAAATCATATGTATTAAAAGCCAACACAAATACCATTTTTCATAATCATGCCCAAAAGACTTACTTTTATATAAGTAAGTACATTCTATATTTCTTGTTATACCTTTTTTTAAAGGATGTGGCAAAAAAATACAAATAGTGGCTTAATCACTGTCCTATTACATACAGTAGGTGTGCAATCCCTTCACATGACAAAACATACACAATTTGTAAAATAAAAAGAAAAAAAAATGACCAAAGTTATAATGAATATTCATTGATCTAATGATTAGGACATGGTGGATTACACTTTAATAGGCTTTCCTTCCGTGGGGTTGAGAGGAGTATTAATGTGGAGGCTGATAGGTGAAGAGAGAGGGCTCGATTATCAATGAGAGGATGCTGGCTGTCAAAATATGATATGAAACAATTTTTAACTATTTGAGCTTAATTGTTTTGCTTCAAAGATTTAGAGGGGGTGCAAGCTTTAATTGGAGGGTGGGGAATGTGTGCCCCAAGCACCCCATCCCACTGCTCTTATTTACGAAAAAGGAGGACCACATTTCAAAAGGTTTTCAGGTTATGTGTGTGAAACCCAATCAAGATAACAAGAAGATAATTCAACTTACATTCCGATATGTGAGAATTCTCTTAATAATTGGATGATCACGTACAGACGCCTGCTTAGACTTCAATGCAAAATAAAAACTGACATTGATGCAGTAGCTGGTTTTAAACAAAAATAAAATGACATTATAAAAAGCTGACTTCTTTATAAATCGAATAGTAAAAACGATATTATTATCATTATTATTTGTTATTCGCTTATAATTATTATTTCATATTTTGTATAACTATATAATTATAATGCAAATATTGTTGAAGTCCTAAAGTTGTTATTAATTTTTTATATAAAATCATCACAGAAATAATAATTAACTTTAATGATTATCATATCACCATTAATACGCATATTGCCAATACTGTTCCGCTCTAAATATTTAAGTAGCAATTTTTTGATCTACCTTTTACCATAAAGCAATGTGCTAGAATGCCTCACATACAGATGCCCATTTCTCTTGGGCAGCTGCATAAATCTGGTTAATAAATGTAAACTTCTGCAATGTTTAACATGTACTGTACATGTACCGGAGTGGTTGCGGTTATGCTTCTTAACTTTGAGGTCGGAGATTAAATTCCTCACTGTGCATTTTGCTTGTGTCCTTTGGCAAGGCATTTTACCTATGGTTATCTGTCCTCACCCATGAGTACAAGTGGGTACCTGGTAGGTTCAAACACAATATGTGCTAATTACAGCTGTAGAATAATGGAACTCTTCCCCAGGGAGCTAAGTATGTGTTCCATATGTGCTTGATTCAATGACAGAGGGTAACAAAGTGAACTTAGATGTCTTGCTGGCATCAAGTGCTATGCAAGTCTAAAATATTATTACAGTACAGGATATTATTAGTATATTATTAATTGATGGACTAACAGCGTGTTGGAGCACACTCACTAATTACTGTTCTCCCATCATTCCCATCACACTTAATTTTGTTTCTTCTCTTCCAATTTTTCTAGTCATTGTTATGTTCAACTGAATATGATAAATTAAACTACCGTATATACTCGCATATAAAGCGACCCACGTATAATACAACCTTGAGTTTGAGAAGATTTTTGGACGATTTCTGTATGTCGGGAATATAAGACGAACCCCCCACCCATGGTTCATGGTCAGAATTCCTACGCTTTTAATGATCATGATACTGCATCTACCTGGCTAAAAATGGAGCCAAATACAAGGCTACTCTTCCAAACAATTCTATGAGTTTTTATATGTTCATCATAATCATATTTCCCCATATTTAAAATTGCGTTCATCCCTACTACAATTAGTAGCTTCATTGCAGTAGTAAATTTGTGTGTTACGGACGATCTGCACAAATGATGAACACGATTTAAAAAATCTCAAATTTTTATGTCGTGTATATAAGATAACCCCCTTTTTTCCAATTGTAATTTGCTATTTTAAGCCTAGAGTATATATGGTATAAAATGAAATGAATATTACGGTAAATGCAATGAATTCTTATTCATACTTCAAGTGAAGATGGAACTTGGTGTTGATATATGTGGCTGGTTGACCACTTGGTATGTGTCCTGCTTTCACCATCATTGCTAAGGGATACATTGTATCAATCAACTCACGAATCTGCAAACCAATCAAAACATCATTCATAAATTGATCATGTCATGAAAACAAGGTAAAAAAAAATAATATTATAAATCAAATCATGGCGGCAATCTAGTTCCACTATTCAGTGGATTAAAATGACCATTATTTGGTTTTCATTGGAATAGGGATTTAGTTTTGCAATTACAATCCCCTCACCTCAGGCCGAAAAACAGCCTACAACCCTATATGGTTATATTTTATCTTCTGTTAAACTACCTTATCTTTGAATTCTGCAATCAGCTGAAATAGTTCAGGAGAGTCCTTTTGCAGATGTTGCAATTTTTCCTTCTTTGACAGTTTGGACAAATCTTTAACTATCCGACTTTCAACATCATCCTCGTTATCTCCTTTGTCATCCACCTGGTGCATGAAAAAAAAAAAAACAATTTAGGCCTACATCTGATACCAACACGCCTAGTACTGTATGAGGCATGCCATTCTAAAACCAGCACCACTGCTTATTGTTAAACTGAGCAAATTAGTATAAGAATGAGGCAGTATTGTATGCTTTAGTACAGAAAAGACATAAAAATTTGACTCATAAACTTTGGCAAAAGTCAGTTCCAGTAAGTGACCTATCATTTGAAAGTTCACAAGGTGCAGAATATAAAAATGTATATTAAGAGTCAATTATCTTGTTCTGGTTATAGTGATGGTGTGATTTCATACTGTCTTCAAATAAAACAATTTTAATAATATTACAATATTACATTACTTTTTTAACAAGATTAGCATTATTGCAGACATACAGTAGGTGTTGTTTATACAATTTCATTAACATTTGTAGGTGTGCCTATGTAATTAAGTGAGCCTGCAAAGATGTACTATTAGTTTAAAAAAATTGAAAATGATATCATTCCACATATGAATTGCTTTGTATATTTAAGTACAAATTATTAACTTTAAATTACAAATTTCAATTATAAAAAAATTTCTTTGTCAATATTTTTAATACAGTTTAATAATAACTTTTATAGATCCTTGAATTTGATGGTAATCATTTTAAGGATGTTTGTAGTAAAATGTCTGTAAATCAGTGAAAACTACTTTTTTCGATCTGTTTCTCGTTGGAAGCTAATTAATATTAATAATATATTTTATACTTTCAAATGAGCTATTCAAAATTGTATTTAAATTTTTGACTGATAGTACATCAAACTCCCAAAATTTTTTTACAGTTAATGAAAAAAAAAAATATTTTTACAGTTAATAAAAAAAAAAAAAAAAAAAAAAAGAAGTGTTACATTATTTGTAAGAAAAGCATGTTTCATATATTTTCAATAGGATTTCAGTTTCTTGTATTTTACACTTTATTTTCGATATATGATTAGTGTTGATACAAGTCTCCCTCTAATTAAAGACCCCTCCAATTAAAGACCACCTCCATTTAAAGAACTTTTCCGTAGTTCCAATTTAACAAATGTCTATTATCTTTATTATTATAAGTAGAGACCAAATAAAAGGCCATTGAAACCACGGTCCCAAAAGTGGTAATTAATTAATTAATATTTCACCGTTTTTTGTTATTTAATATTTTCCTATGTCATACAGGCCTGGACCCCTACCCCACCATCATCCAACAGCACTATGAGGTTGTTGGATGAATAAAATAAAAATTTACCTAGATCTAAATAATATTTTTTGATTGCCAATCCATAATATTTTTATCTGAAAGCACAATTTGGGTTGAATACTAAAGCCATAAGCTATGTTCTCACACGGCAGCTAACGGTTAGCAGGATCTGGATCCTGCTAACCGTTAACTGCCGTGCGTCCATGCGAGAAAATCCCGATCTGGATACCAACAATATGTTGATCGAATCACTGGCCAATAGGAAACTGGAAATTGTAAACGCATACGTGTGATTGGTTTATGATAGAAACGCCCTCAACTTGCTAACCGATAGCGCTTGCTAACCGTTAGCGTATCCCGATACCGCTAACGGTTAGCGCTAACCGATCGGGCGTTCTCAGGCAGGTGCTAACGGTTAGCGCTAACGGTTAGCTCCCGATCCGGATACTAGGGCTCTCGTGGGAACCAGGCTATAAAAACTCTCCCTGTGAACCTACAAGGGATTATTTATTCCGGGACCGTCATGTCCAAGGGGCTCTAGTGGGCCCTTGGTTTGAACCCCCCTAACGGACATGTCGTACCACTTGTCGGCACATCTGGAGCCAACACTGTCTACAGGCCTTATTTATAAGACATTGAACATTATGATTATGTTTTCAACATTGGCAAACCTTGAAGAGATCCATTCCAAAGTCCTCTTCGTCAAGAGCCTGAGCCATGCGTTGTTGGATAGCAAGTGCCTCCTTCTCCTCCTCTGCTTGTTCTTCCTCCTCCTCAGATAAACCTTAATAATGGATTCACAATTATGGAGTACACACATTAGTGAATTTTGACAAATGCATGATATACGCCTTAGACTGGCAGCGGAATAATGAAAGAGTCATGAAGCTCAGGGGAAAAATGAGACATGTCGTGGCGAAATGGTTAAGTTGTCGCACAGGCCAGTATTGAGTAAATGAGTTATAAAATATGGGAGCTCAAAAAAAGGCCTAAAAATCAAAATTTTCTGTTCACTATAGATCAACAGTTTAACGTCTTATTAATCATGTCCCAAAGTATTAGTTCTGGAAGTGGTCACCAAATTGTTTATTTAATGTTATTTAGATAGTTAATTCTATTAAACAATGTATGAACAAATAACTTTGGAAGGCAATTACTCAAAATCATGTTTATCTTGACTCTAAGAGTGCCGTATTTTCACTTTCAATAACTTAGGCTTGAAAAGTCCAATTTTAATGAATGACCCCTCAATTTAAAGATAACATACTCAGGTATATGAAAATACCAATAACTTGAATTTCAAATTTTGCTACAACTTAGCCAATTTGCCACAACATGCCTCAAATGTGCAGCTCATGTTGTTGTTGTACTTGATAAGTCTGAAAGTGTGCAACTTCAACATACACACTGAAAGTTTGAAGCAAATGTTTCAGCTGTGCAACACTAATTGAATTGAAATGTATTTAGAACTCCAACACACAAAATGTTACAAAATAGTTGCACATAGCAAAAGTAAAACAATTGAAAAAAAAACAAAAAAAACAATAAAAACCTTAAAATGTACCTAAAAAAGTGAATGGAGAACCAGAATGGCCCATAAAGCTAGCAACTGCTGACTCATTTTTAATTGGATCCCAGACAATAACCAACAGTATCGAAAAACAAATAAACACATTTAAAAATCGAGGATAAAAATTAGAAAGACAACTTTCAACAAATTTAAAAATTCAAAAAGTTAAAATTTAAAACGTTTAAAATATAAAAGGTTAAAATAAAACACTTAAAGTACTTAAACATTTTAAAAGTAAAAAATCAAAAAAGTAAAATGATTCAAAATTTAAAATTAATGACTAATTTGCACAAGCTGTTCCTAAAATCAAGTGCTTATTATTCATCAAAGAAAACCAATAGTCAAAAGTTGTATCATGATAAATGCTAATTTATTATAGAATATAATTTATGCAAAAAAAAAATGATATAATATTTTGTCACTTTGTCAAGCTTCTGTGGGAATGTATCACATATTTTACATAGTTTATTCATTAAAGACATTAGCAAGCTTGAAAATGACGTACCAGGCAAATCATCATCCACATAGTCTGTGTGGTAGAATGACTTCTTTCTTGATCCCCAGGCTTTCTCATTGGGCAGTGCATCGTCATCTTCAGCATCTTCATCCTCCATGTCGCTGGCAACATCTTCGAGATGAGACTGCTTCTTAATTGCCAGCAACTGAGCTTCATAATCATCATCATTATCTGAATCCAAACTTAATACTTCCACCTTAAATGATACAAAGCAATTCAATTTTTAAAGGATAAATAATTCATAAAATTGATAATTCTATTATCGATATTATCTTCGCAGATATCTGTTGTCATGTGACTGATACTGAACATTCAGTCACAAAAATATTAAATTAATAATATGATAGGGCATCATGCAAATAAGCCCTAACTAGAATGCGTTTTGTGATTGAGCTCTTTGAGTTCAATATTGTGAGGACAGTGGGAAAAAATAAATTGAAGTAGCCCCATAAACTAAACCTTCTCCTTAAACTAAAGCATGGTTGGCTGTTGGCTCCGAGAGAACTAAAACCTGCAGACATAAGGAAGCAACTAAATTTACTTTGGCCAAATTAAAATAAAATAATAGTTTCTCGTGCCCTCGCACATCCATTCTCTCTGCCTTTACCCATTTTTTCTTTTAATTCCTTTATTTTATGAAAATCTGGCTAACTCATATCAGTAAAATTCCTCTCTCGATTGTTCATGGTTGTGGATACATGTGGTATGAATGCTAGTGCTTCTTTTATTTGCTTTCAATGTGTCTACTTGATAAAAGTGAGAAAGTAATAGCTGTTTCCCATTGACTATCATGGATAAAAAAAAAGGATAAAAAAGTGCCTTCATTCTCCTTATTTCAAAATATTAGGACGAGAAACTACTTTTACTTTTAACTTGGCCTTATAGCTTTCAACTGTAAATTTTAACAACAAAGAATAATCCCTTGCAGTCAATTGTAAATTTTAACGGGAAGAAAAATTCCCTCACCAATAGCAAATCTCAGTGACTAGGGATTTACTGGAGTTTGTTTCTATGCTGCTGTTGGCAGATTATAAACCTTATTCCAGTACAAAAATTTCATAGTTGGAGAAGTTACAGTGTCAGTTTAAAGAGGTTGGATTTACACTGTAAATTAAAAATGGAAAAAACTAAAATGTCAAGAAGTATAGTTAATTAACCAGGGCAGATCCAGAGATGTCCAAAAGGAAGGGGGGAACGAAAGGGGGCCGAAAGTGGGGCTGATTGAGACAATACTACCCTAAAAGGCCGGGGATTATCCTAAGGGGCCCAGGATTACCCTAAGGGGTCCAGGAATTTCCCCGCAAGATTCTTGTTTTCTAGATGCCCAAAAATAACCTCTGAGGCATTTTGTCTGATCAAATTTTCTTTTTCTTTCTTTTTTACTTTTCAAAAGATGTGGCAGGAGCCGGCTTGGGGGCCCCCTTCCTAATTCTGCCCCGTTAACTGTAGGTAATTGACATTTCGTAGCTTTAATGATTTCATCTCAAACCTCATCATCTGAACTTGCACGTTCCTGCTCTTGGAATTTTTTATTCATTTTCTTCAGCCGATTTTTGTGGAAGTCATCAATTTCATCGTAAATTGAGTTATGCGCATCAGGTACTGGGAGATCTTTGTAGGCTCTCTCATCATCACTGTCAAATGTCTCCTCTTTCCTTTGAAACTTGGCTCGGCCTCTGCAAAAACAAGAATATACTTTATGCACCTGGTAATTGTAGTCCCTTCCCCCCCCCTCGGCCTCGACCCACAGCGGGGCACGGCCAGAACTGAGTCGGGGACATGCACATACTGGTACCCCCGTAGTGCCGGGATGTACCTAAAATTCATCCGTAAATGTAACCGCCATCGAAAGGGCCGGGAATTTTACATGCTAGAGTAGCTGGAGTTTCAGATGTGTATTGCTGTCAAATGGTCTGGTCCTACCTTGCAGTTAGCCTACACTTGGCCCAGGCATTCAGCAATTGCTGTGTGTTTTGGTAATTAAAAAATCGCCTAGGTTTACCATCATAGTTTCATTTTTTTTATAGATCACGGTATAAATTACGTAATAAAATTCGAACCTCCCCCACACAACGACGGGGAACAAGGTGACGTGTGTTGTGTGAAAATTTGTGAACCGCATGTATTTGACCTAGTTTGCGTCACAAAATATACCAGTAGTGAGCCAAGACAAAGAAATCTGTTTCTACTAAACTGCATTAATTTTCTTATTTAATTTCTGTTTTGATACTGAATAAATTTTATCAATCAGTTAAATCAATTAATCAGTTTTCTTTTTCTGTCAATCAATACACACCTTTCAAAAAAAAACCCATGAAAAATCTGCCTAGTGATATGCATACATAGTGCTTTCATCAGGCAAGCTCATCTCCTCGGCCTAGCTCTCAGATTCAGACATATATGCCAATTGAAAAGTGCATTATTATATTATAGGGGAAAAGTTTGGTGCCCATGTTGGTGACATTACTCCCTAGCCAAGGCCTATCTTATTTCATAAATTTTGAATTAGGCCTAGGCTGAAATATTCATCCTATTTAATTTTTTTTTTTTTTTTTTTGGACAAGCACCACTGCCTCATTCCTTTTTGGTCGGTCGTGACTAGGCCTAGGCTAGGCCTGGACAAAGTAGCCAAGCCGGCTAGGCCTATATGCCTATGCCTAGCCTCTGGCTAGGCTAGCCTAGGCCGCCTACTACAGTGGTAGGGGCCTAGGCTAGTTACGACATGGACTAATCTAAATTTGGAAACATGAAACCATAACTCCAATATTCTAAAATGTTTCTAAAACGTACCTGCCCTTTTTCTTCATATTTTAATACAATTTGACCAGCTACCCTGCTTGAAAGAAAGACAAACGAAACGCAGAAAACAGAAAACACACGTGCCAAGTAGGTTAAAGATCAAACGTTATACCTGACCGATTTCGCAAGATTCCCGGTCTCCAACAAGCAGCAGAAAGGCTGGATGGACTAAAACAAACAGGTTCTTAGAATGTCTTTAATCCGCCGAATTTTTCGTGCTCGTACACAGCTACTATTTGATCAACAGTTTTTCTGGTTGGTTGCTCTTGCATTAATTTTGGCAGAGATATTACTGAACATATGGGTTATTCAAAACATAAAATGTAAGGAAGAATTGTTTGTTCATCATAGGCCTAGCTGAGCCTGAGGCTAGGCGGCCTAGGAGGTAGACCATGCCTAGGAGGAGGGCCTAGTCTAGAGTCTAGGCCCACCGAGCTAGGCTAGCCTACATTTAGCCTATTCTACACCAGTGCTTCCTAGGCCTGTAGTAGTGTCGTGCACCATTTGCAAATTTTGCAAGCTCTTCCTTTACACCATTTGAAAACTCTGCAAGAATTTCTTTGCACAATTTGAAAATTGTGCAAGGATTTCCTTGCACAGTATGAAAACTGTGCAAGAAGATCTGCACAAGACTCAGTTTGCAAACTTGACTTATAAAGTGGAAGAAACATCCATAAAGGTAAAGGCATGTTTCATATTAGAAATCATAGAGTTTGCTTTAGCTACAAGCCTGTCTACATGATTAGATGGTTTAAGAAGAGTAGCGGTAAGAATAAGATGCACACCAAGATTTTTAGTTATTAATATTCTGCAGATAAATAAGGGCGATATGGGCACATAGAAAAAATTATTAGATATACATCACTCGTTTTTTTTTTTGTTTTTTTTTTATGCAGGTGGGCGGTTTTTTTTAAACTCCTAATCCCATGAAACAATAGAATATTGCCGCTTTTAGTCTTGTGAGCAATGAAGCTGGGGTCCACGGGCCGAAGGCCCAGTTTTGGCGGCTGGGGGGGCTATAGCCCCCATCGGAAAAGACGATAAATTTTGTCGGGGAACAAACAAATAAAAAAAAATATTTACATGTAATATTCATTTAGCCACCATATCGTTTGTGTTAACTTTTCATCACAACAACAACCACAATAACAATAATAATAATAATAATAATAATTCAATGAGACTAATTAAAAATAATTTGCATTCTGTTATGACAAGTGCTCATTTAGATAGCCTCATGATGGTTGGAATACATTGTGATAGGTGAAGCAACCTCGACCATGACAACGTGGTTGACAGATTTCATGCAAAATTTCCAAAATATAGAAATTCACTTTCAAGAATGAGGATTTGGAAAATAAATTAGATGGTTACATTGCATACTCTTTGTTTCTTGCTTTATTCAAAATG